TGCGTTACTCTTTCCTCCTAGTTGTAGGACTTCCACTCAGCCAGCGTTCCTGTGGGTCTGGGTGATGTCCGTTCCGTCTTTTAGTTTCACTTTTGAAATGGTTGTTCGAGGCGGCAAACTCCGGCGTTAACCTATGCCGCCATCTTGGTTCCAATCAACCTATTTTTTAAAGATTTTTATTGATTTTTAGAGAGAAGAAGGGAGAGAGAAACATCGATAATGAGAGAGAAATATCAATCGGTTGCCTCCTGCATGCCCCCTACCAAGGATCGAGCCCGAAACCTGGGCATGTGCCCTTCCCAGGATTTGAACCAGCAACCATGCTGTGCATGGGACGACCGCCACACTGGTCAGGGCGGGAAATCAACATCTTAAGGACCAATTGTGTTATGGATCTTATTTACCCTAGACAAAACCCTATTTTATAGATGACGGAATGGAGGCTCAGGCAGCTAAAATATTTTGCCTAGGGTTCATACCTAGGCAAAGCTGATGTTAGAACCTAGTTCAGTCTAACTGTAAATAGCATTGTTCTCCCTGACTTGGCAGGCTTTCTTTGCGTTGCTAATCTCCCTGGAATACTGATTTTTCTTACAAGTTCAAGAAGACAGACCTCCTCAGAGATTCAGAAAGGAGGTCCAGTTATTTGAGGGGCCCAGCAGGGCAGGTAGCAGTTGGGGGTGTCTTCTGAGCAGTGGCATTGCTAGTGAGGGGATAAAAGGCTAAAAATGACAAGAAGAACCCTTCAAGCAGGCAGAGGCCTAGGCTAAATACAGAAGAAAACACCTGTTACACATTGGGTCCTATAAACACTTGGACCAGAACAGACAGGAATCTGGAGAGCTGGGTTGGAGCTGAGAATCGTGGGTTTTTATCTTCTCTCTCAATATCTGCCTTTGGACAATCTCCATTATCCTGTTTGTAAAATTGGAGTGCTCCCCACACCTGACATTGTGTGTACGGTAACCAAGGAGGATGTTATAGAGCAGTGATGGCGAACCTTTTGAGCTTGGCGTGTCAGCATTTTGAAAAACCCTAACTTAACTCTGGTGCCGTGTCACATATAGAAATTTGTAGATATTTGCAACCATAGTAAAACAAAGATTTATATTTTTGATATTTATTTTATATATTTAAATGCCATTTAACAAAGAAAAATCAACCAAAAAAATGAGTTCGCGTGTCACCTCTGACACGTGTGTCATAAGTTCGCCATCACTGTTATAGAGAATGAAATGAGAAATGCAAGTTGGAAAGCTTTGTAAATTGTAAAGCAGCATGACCAAAATGAGAGAAAGTAAGAAGAAAACCGAAGTGTCCCTGAAGAAAACATAAGTGTCCCTGACATCTCAGTCCCTGACCTATTTGTCATTCTGTTTCCCAAAGGTAAAGGGAGGGTTTTCCTTTGGAAATTTGTACTGTAAATCTTTCCCCATGTCCTTCTGTCCTTCTGCAGGCCCTTCCCAAAGCTCAGTCTTTTCAGAAGGGAGCGGATCTCAGGGCACAGAGACAAAGCCAGGCAGCATCAGCAGCCATGATTTGCAGCATGTTGGTTGCCGAATGCAGGTCTATCTGCACTCACACAGCCTGGCTCCAAGGCCACTGCCGGCACAGATATTAAAGCCGTTTTCAAGAGCTCATTCCCAGCATGTGTTTGCACTCAACCTCTAGTTCTACTAATATGTTGCCTTGTTCCCTACTGTCATCTCAGAAGAGGAAGGCTATTCCTATTTTGGCTGTAGGTTCCAGGCACTGCCTTTCCCACCCCCAACTGCTAGTGAGAAAGGCACTTACACATGTAGCCTCAGAACTTATCAGAGGTCATGTTTCCCCACCATCTCTTTCTCACCCTTGGCCAGTGATGGGGACCACTTTCTTAATACTATGTAACAATGGACATTCTGTTCTTCCCTCTGTCTGCCTGAGGGTGCACAGAGGGGTCTGTCCCCTACCTGGTGCCCTTGGCTGGCCAGCCTTCCTTCCTATTCTGAATCTCCAGACTCTTGTTTGCCACCTCTTTTTGTTTGGTTAATCTAAAGTTTTATAGCTTCTGGCTTTTTCATGTCCTGGTTGCCAACTTTGGATCTTTATTTGTTTGTTTTAAAGACTAGTTTATTGATTTTTAGAGAGAGAGGAAGGGAGAAGAGAGAAACATCAATGTGAGAGTGCAGCATCTATTGGCTGCCTCCTGCTCACTCCCCCGCACCTCCCAGGCAACCTAGGCATGTGCCTAACCTAGAAACTAGCAACCTTTTGTTGCAACTGAGCCACAGCAGCCAGGGCCCACTTTTGAATCTTATTGTTCTTATAATAACTACCCTGCGAAGAAGTTCCACCATTGACTGTTTTAAAATTTGAATGATTCCGCATTAAAAAAATATATAAAATGCTGATATCCATATAGTAGCGTATTTATCTAACACCCTCAGTTTTGTAGAGCCTGACTAAAGAACAAGGAGTAAGCAAGTCATTTTCATCCTTAAGCCCTTGCACAGCACTAATTTATTCTTATTATTACATGTCATTGTAACAAGTTTAGCAGTTTGGTTTCTATACCCCATAAAATTAAAAGCAGCATATACAAAAGCAGGGAGGAGCTGCTCTACTGACAGTAGCTAGTGGTGAGGGCTGAGAACCAACAGTAAGGGAGGAGGTGAAAGAAGAATGAGAAGAAAGAAGCTAAAATGAGTATGGAGGCCATTTAATTTAGGGGCAACAGCCCTACGGACATATCTGTGCTTCAGTAAGTGGTAATTTTTAAGGTAATTTTAGGTTGCTCTTGAAGGCCAGAGGTATCAGAAAATGTTAATTATAATGTCTATTATGTGCTATACATAAATTGATTTCATTTTCATAGCAACTTAGGAGTTAGGTGGTGATGTTCTCATTTTATAAATTACTGAGACTTAGAGAGGGACACAGTAGACCATGATTGGAAGAGATAAGCTTGGAATCCAGAAGACTCTGGCTTCAGAAAACCAAGTTTTTCTGCTGTCCTATGTTCGCTCATTCTCTGTGATCCAAAACCCCGGTCCTTTTCAGCCTCTTGGGCCAGTCATTCCCCCCGCCCCCCCTTTTTCATTCTCCTATATAACATTTTCTTTTTCAAGACATTCAGTCAGTTAGTGAGTATTTGAGTGTCCATCATGTGCCCGGCACAGTTTTAAGTGTTTGAAATGTAGCAGTGAAGAAAATATTCTTCTCTCTTGTAGTTTACATTCTAGTGAAGGAAAATAGATAAATGAATACTATGAAGAAAAATAAAGCTGGATAAGGGGATAGGGAGGGGCCGTGTGATGAAAGAAGGCTTCTGTGAGAAAATAAAATATGTGCAAAAATATGCAGTAACTGAAGTAGTAAAATATACTGTGTATCTTGGGGAGTAACATTTCAGGCATAGAGTTCAGCAAGTTCAGAGGCCCTGAAACAGGAGTATGCTTATTGTGTTTGATAAAGGGAGGTCAGTGTGGCTAGAGATGAAGTAAGCAAGGCTGTACGAATGAGTGGATTATGGAGAAGTCACAAGGTTAGACAGGGTCCCAGATCATGTAGGGTTTTATATTTAGTGAAATAGGAAGTCACTGGAGAGTTTTGAGTAGAATGACATACTCTTGATGTCCATTAAAAACAAAAAAAATCCCTCTGCCTGATTGTACCAGCTAGGACCTCCAGTACAATGTTGGATATAACTGGAGAATTCTAGGGAGAAGTATTCAGTCTTTCCCCATTAAGTATGGTGTTAGCTGTAGTTTTTTTTGCATATAACTTTTATCAGGCTAAGTTCCCTTCTATTCCTAGTTTATTGAGAGGTTTTATTATGTATGGATGTTGGATTCTGTTGTGTGGTTTTTGTCCTTTATTGTACTAACATGGCAATACATTGATTTTTTTATATTAAAGCAACCTTATATTCCTGAAATAAATTCCACTTGATCATAGTGTATAATCCTTTTAATTTTTATATGGTGTTGGACTTGGTTTGCTAATATTTTTTTTTAATATATTTTATTGATTTTTTACAGAGAGGAATGGAGAGAGAGAGAGTTAGAAACATCGATGAGAGAGAAACATCGACCAGCTGCCTCCTGCACACTCCCCACTGGGGATGTGCCCGCAACCAAGGTACATGCCCTTGACCGGAATCGAACCTGGGACCTTTCAGTCCGCAGGCCGACACTCTATCCACTGAGCCA